AACAGATATTGTGCTACACTTCTCTTACTTGTCATTATGTAGTTGTGAGCATTGTTTATACTGATAGAACAGATTCAGAAATAAATTACAAAACAAAAAAGTGAAAATGAAGACACCCTCTGCCCCCTGCAAAGTGAAGGTCAGAACATCATGCAAGACATCCTTACAAAAACCTGTGAAGTCTCTAGCAAAATTAATGTGGAACATACTGTATTTTTTTAGAAGTTAACATTTCAACAAAATTAACAACCTACACTACTATACATACATTGTACATGGTGATGGAGCATAACAATCATTCTTTTCAGATTCATGAATTAAACTGAATTATCAACCCATTTTAAGGGTCTGAATAATCTCTGTGAATCCTAATAGAAATTTTCCTAATGTACATGCAGGTACCAACTTGTCCTGAATACAATTTATTCAAGACAAGACCTAAATGTTCACTTGCATATAAACATATCAGGTGAAATTCAGCATGGCTCAAAGAGGCAGTTTTATTTCAGAGATGTTCTTAGGACAAAAAAAAAAAAAAGGAAAGTGGGCAAATTCAAATATAGACTGTTGGAAGCTTTTTAAGTAATAAACGTTTAATCCCATTTTTTTTAGTGTCATGTGGTTTCCAGTGTACACAAAGTAAAGAGTGAAAAGGTAAAAATAAAACTGGCATACCCTTAATATATTCGAGAATTCATAAATCATTTGTAAATTTAGTCCTTTTACAAAAGAATCCTTATATAAATGGGGGGGAGGGGGGGCATCAATCCCATATATGAAGCACAATTTAAGCCCAACATCACTGACCAATCAAAATTAGTGAATGCACTGCATCTCTCTGCAGTGAGGAGAAGCGACAAGGTAGGCTGTCATTCTGCAAAAGCTGCCCATCGCAAGCTTTCCTCTCAGAAGCACTGCTTTTCTTTTTTAGAAAGCTTGAATCTCAGTGGTGTCTCTGGAGACAAGAAGCCTTCAGTATGTTAAATTACTTTCATTATGTATTTTCAGATGCTTATTGATTCTACAGTAGGAAGAGTGGGAGACTGCAGCAGCCTGTAAACCAGAACTAAAGCAGTTGTATACATTAGCAGTATGCTGAAACAATGGCACAGTACAGGCACAAATTTTCATTAAGGTCATTTTTTGAAGATATGCTTATTACCCTCTTTCC